ATGTCAGGTTTATAATAACTTACTTACCAACAAGTTTTTCAGGAGGTTGAATAAGTAGTTTGGAGGTGAATAAGTGGCTTGAGAAGTTAATAAGTAGTGTGGAAAATTAATTATTCACCTCCTGGTTCATTCCCAGCCTTTCTCCTGCATTACTTCCTTTATCTACCACTATCAGTGAAACTCATTGCATCAAACACAAAAAGTCCACCTACTGAATGCCGGACTAGTTGTAGTTGGCCATGAGTACACACTTCATGTGTTAAGTTTTGACAATAATCTTAACATGCAATCAATCACACATGCACATGTATACTGAACGTTACAACTCTTAATATAAATGATAATTATAATTACTTTAATAAAATAATGGTACGTCTAAATACATTCATAATGTGTCAGTTTAATGATAAGATAGTCAAGGAATAAAGACCCTGGCAAATAGAAAGAGAGAATTAACCTGAGCCAATTAAAGTCAGCCAATACGAATGAAACTGAAGTATAAATAAACATCAGGAATATTTAGTTCTTTTGGTATTGCTCGACGAAAGAAGAAGAGGTCAGCTAATGTGTAGTCATCACGATCAACTTTGGCAATCATTACTTTTGTACCAGGAGGAACATCTTTTATACCAAATTCTAAAGCATTAGCATCAGTTAATAAACCACCACTGTTAAGAAAATAATCCTTCAATTTCTCTTTGTAACCTGACCATGCCCTCTTTAACAAATGATTGTCAGGTAGGAATACATTAACAAGTTTAACTATTAGTTCATAGTTGAACCATGATATGTACTTTCGTTGCAAAACTTTAAAAAGGTCTTTTGTTGTTTGTATATTATTAAACTCTTCTGTAATTTCTTTAGCTTGGTAATTCTTATTTGGACCAAGTAAAGCAGGGACATGTGTCTCAAGATAATCAATAATATCTGGAAGGAGTTCAGGTTTAAAAGCATCTCTCGTTTCTTTAAGAATATCAGAAAAATCCCATTGAAGCTCATATATCTCATTCAGAAGACGAACATCCTTCACAGGAAGAGCATAAATAGAATCTATAAAAAAGAATAACTGTAATGAAGATGCCAAAATGATAATGGGAATCATATGAATTTCACTAAAGGTTACCTCCAAAATTAACATTCATCATCAATGCATGTGGTCTTATTGTTACATGTATGGAAATGGAATGTGAGTGACTGCACCAGTGTATAATATGAATAATGATAAAAATTTTGTAATATACAGAATGATCAGTGATGCATTGTCATCAAAATATAACATACTGTAAACAGAAGCATTTTAAAGCCTACCTGTTGTGCTTTCTCCTCCAATAGATTCTGGTAGAGGATGTTTACGAGCTATCTCTTCAGCTAATGCTGGATCACCTCCTCCTTCTTTAACAGCTACACATACTCTCCTCCAACATGGAGAGCCAAAGAACTCATAATTGTAATCCTTCCTTAACCAGTGCTCCAAAACCTTATGTAGACATGACTCACAACTACTACCGCAATTAGCTTCAATGATATCAATGGTAGCTGGTCTTACGTATAGTGAGTTAGCAAACTGCTTCCAACGTGCAGCAATGGGTTTAAACTTCATTATAAACGACATTGAGATCATCAATACCTAAAAATACAAATAAGAGGGCTGTCGCATTCATAATCTTATTAACTCACAGAGCATTTTACTGCAAACATCTTCAAAACTCTGAGCCATAGAAGCTATAGTTGTTTGTGTGTCTTTTTACAAAGGGACAGAAAGATA